CATCTTTATCTGGTATCCACACCTAAAAACAGAGACAGCAAGATATGCGCTCCCAAATCTCTTTCAAACAGCCGCAAATACATTCACAGCTTTCGCATAAAATTGAGCAGCACTCACACGTGTCAGCACAACAGCCACCATCAGAGGGAAAAACAACAACGGTGGGACTACGTGCACGGGTCTCGTTGCTTGGGGCAGGTTCTACCCTGTTCATTTTGCTTTAAAAAATCAGTGGGAAAAATGAAAAAAGACAGTTATTACAGTTAGAGAGGAAAGGCAGGAAATAAAGTATTATGGTGAATGGTTGGTGCCTTTAACCAATATCGTATCCAACAAGTGCAAATGCAATGATTGTTTTCTTAAATTTCTAAAATCCTGAACGTTTGGATATCTGGAGCAACAGTTGGCGCGATGCATTTCCAGAACAATAGAAATGCAATATTCGGAGTCGAAATTTTAATAACAAAGGACATTCGGAGTTTCAGTAGCCAATTAAAGCACGCCTTCAACGCTCTCCACGGTTTTAGTATCTACTAGTATTCGATATTTGTAGTCAGTTATTGCGAATATCGACCTGTGGTAGCAATTTTAAGTCAATCTTAAGTTATTACCTTTTACCTAGGAGAAGACCGCAGTTGAGTGAGAAATTCTGCAAAAATTTTGGCTCTTTTTAAGGAAAAGTATTTGCTAATTTATATCTGGCTTCAATGCAAAGAGAAAGAATTGCAGACCAACCGAAGATCATCGCAGAAATGGCATCTTCAAACAAAAAGGGCCGATCCAGCTGCTTTTTGAGCTCGTAAACTCTGGTGGAGAAAAATTATCACATCAAAAGTTGAAAAGATTCGAAGATACAATCTTTATGAACGTTCTCAATAAATGACCATGCATCTGAAGGTTTTTTAGACATCTGCAACTATATGGAACCCACACTTGTGGCATTTGAACAACTACATTGACATAGGCGACTTACTAACATTTAAAGGATGTTGATATTCTGCCGGTTACTTAGACAAAGTTTAGCCTTTTTTTAAAAAAAAATGCGTTCTGAACTATCTCGAATTTGACTGAATCTTTTATCAGAACATTTATTTTTGTGAACAGTGTCAAGAGGCCCTATAGCTATCAATAGAAGGACATTTCTTTACTTAAAAAAAAAACACTTCATATGGAAAATACGCAATGTTCACTCCTTGGATAAGACCGCGTGTAATTGAAACTGAAATGTAGCACAGTCGATGCGTGCGTGAGCAAATCTCAATCTAGTTTCAATTATTATACAATAAGACTATCACACTTGTCTCATGGATGACATTAACCTTGGGTATTCAATCATTTCCAATCATGATTCAGTAAATCATCAGCTTGCATTAAGAAACGCTAGATTTGTTCCTCTTTTCACCTTGTAACGAAAATTTAGAAAACTTTTTGTTACAATTCTTTTTCTGTGGGCTATGAAGTACCCAGCCCTTTTTTTTTTTTCGCAAGTGCCTAATCAAAAGTCCTGCAATTATT